CTGGAATATATTCATTCATTAGGATGTATTCACAGAGACCTCAAACCTGATAATGTGTTAATTGATAAAAATGGTCATTTATTATTAACTGATTTTGGGTTATCAGTTGTTGGACTATGTAATGAGCAACATGGAATTAAAGAATCTAGACTATTATGTACACCTGATTATGTAGCTCCAGAATCGTTAAGGGATTATTACTATTGTCAAGCAAGTGATTATTTTAGTTTAGGGTGTATGGTTTATGAAATGCTTATAGGAATACCACCATTTCATTCTGAGTCACCAAATCAAATCTTTGAATTAATTAAAGAAGGAATATATGATTGGCCCGAAGACATCAATATTAGTGAAGAATGTAAAGACTTTGTTAATGGATTACTTACTGTTGATTATAATCAACGTCTGGGAGCTAAAAGTATAGATGAAATAAAAAACCACAAATGGATGAAACCAATTTCATTTGATAGTTTGTTGAGTGAAAGTAGAGAAGATATATTCGTCCCTGAATTAGAAAATGAATTAGATACTGGTTATTTTGATATCGACGTTGATAGAAATAATACCTTAGTTAAGGATGAAGATTGGACTGGAGATAACACATTCTATTCATTTGATTGTGTTAATACTAATCAAGTCATTGACCAAAATATTGAAATTGTTGAAAGAAGAAGTAGTGCAGTTAACCTTTGCGATGATGAAGATGAAGGTTCACAAGAAACAACAAGCGAACAAGACGATAACAATAATGATATGACTCGTTCAATGAGCATGTTTAACTTCCATCATAAATAACTTATAAGATTTGATTGTTTTATATAACAAAATATTAATAATTATTTTAATATTTATATTTTTCATTTTATTGTTAATTAAAAAAAACTAGTAAATTTATCATTAATTATAGGAAAAATTAAAAAATAAACAGAAAAAAAGGGAAAAATAAACAATGTCTGTTGTTGAAAGAGAAAGATGGTCATTAGAAGTTGACAAAGCTGTTGAACTTGTTAAGGCCAACTCTCATGAAGGAATTGTACCAAGCCAATACAGTAAAAAGTTAAGTGATTCTGTATTGCATTTAGTATTATCAACAATTGACTTAGTAAAGGTTTTAGGAAAAGATGGAAGTGAAGATATAATCACAAAAACTTTAGACACATTTAGATCATTGTTATCAGTAGTTAATTTAAATGCAAATAACTCAACATATTCTGTCATTGCTTCAGCATTTCACTTATTCAATTATCTTCATATTTTTAGTCAAATGGATGACTTTCTTTCTTCAGCGCAACACCTTATTAAAGAAGATACAACTCGTAGTATGTATTGTATGTACCATTACTATGCTGGAATGACAATGCTCATCAAAAACAAACCAAGTGATGCCCTTACTCATTTAACTGAAGCAATCAATTATACTCCAGTCGATTCACCTAATTACAGAAAAACATTAATTCCATTAATTGTCTTACATTTAAGAAAAGGAGAATATCCTCCTCAACAACTTCTTTCTACTCACAATTTAGAAGAAGAATATACTAATTTAATTCTTTCAGTTGAAAGGGGTGATATAGTGTTATATGAAAATGAAATAAGAAAACACGAAGCGTTCTTTATTCATCATGGATTATTTTTATTAGTGGAATCTTTAAAACTTATTGTTTATCGAAATCTCTTTGATTTAGTGCAAAAATCTTTAGGTACTAATAAAATTCTTTATTCTGCTTTTCAAAAAGCTCTTAATGTATTTGGTAAAACTTGTTCTGAAACTGAGTTAGAATTTATTGTAGCTAATATGGTTTATAAAGGGCTAATGAAATGTCAAATCTATCATCAGTATAAAGCATTTGTTCTTCCTCCATCAAATGCTTTCAGTTATTTTGAAGATAAGTGATTGGTTTTTTGTTTATTTTGATTTTCTTTTTTTCATGAAAAATATTTCTAAAAATGGAATTATAAAATCCTCCTATCATTAATCTCTAAATTAATTCATTAAAACTCTTAATTAGAATTACTCTTTAATTTTTATTCCATTTATTGTAATGATTTCTACTTATTATTAACCTTTTATTTATTATTTATTACCATTATCATATATATATTTAAGGTATTGTAAAAAACCAATAAAAAAGATATCAAAATAAATGAAAGAAAAAGAAAAGTCGTAACACGTAAGAGCCTAAAAAGGAGTGACTATAACAAGAAGTATTAATTCTAAAATAGTCGGTAGTGATGAACTAACACTGTAAAGATTATTATAAACTATTGGTTTTATTGATTATATATTAGTATAAAAATAAAGAAGAACCAAGTACTAAAACATAATATTAAAGTTGACAAATATATAAACATTTATTGACCACCTATTTAAAAGAAATTTATTAATTGATTTTATTTTATATTCTTTTTTAGTTTTCAAATAAATAAAAATGAATAAAAATCATTTCCTTTCAATTATAATGATTTGTTGTGATGTGAACATTCTGGATGTTGTTTTCAACGAAGTGTATTTAATATTCCTTTATCTTCAAATGAAGATTAATAACACCTGCGTTTTATTATTTTCTTTATAAACATGTCTCTATATCTAAATAAAAAACTAATCACTTGTTAATTACATAAATAAAATGCATATTGTGGTTGTTTAATATCAAATTTCATCATTCCTTCTATTCTTCCTTTTGATTCTAATGAAAATAAAAATGATTTTGAATCATTTATTAATGAAGAAGAATAAAAATACTTAAAAACATTGAGTTATAATATTCCAATCATATAATATAAAAAAATATAGTGTAACTTAAATAGAAATCATTTTACCAAACAATTTTAAAGATAACAAGAAGAAAGCATTAGTAATTAAAATTAACCATATTTTTCAATAAAATGAATCAATTATATCTTTTTTTTGAATTAAATAATATTTTCATAATACTTTTTAAAATGAAGTGGTTATTTGGAATGACATCTTTTCATCATATTCTTTATATAATAATGGGTATGCAAAGTTAAATTCAATATTATTTAAAGAAACTCCAACTCCACAACTAGAATTAATACAATCAATACATTTTTTTCCTTGTACTTTTGCAAATGATAATAATCCAAAATTTAAATATCCAAAAATACTAGTATTCATTCCAATTGGAAGTCTATAATGAACCATTTCTTGAAATGTTGCAATAAAATCTCCTCCTAAGTGTTTTCTTTTTTTGTCGCCATGACATCCTCTATTTCTAAACCCTCTTAATTCATTTCCTCCTAAGTAATAATACTCTGACATTCTAACCCACTTTGGACTTATCTATTCTTTAGTTTTTTCTTCTAGTCTTACTTTTGTCTAAATTAAATATATAATTATATTATTAACAAACAATCATTCCAACATGAATTTGGCTTGTCAACCAACACTTTTTCCATTCATCTGTAACAAACTTCATTATTATGTTTGGTTTTATAAATATATTGTCATTATATACTCCAATAATGTTTTTAATTAAATACTCTAAGTTAATCCCTTTATTCTTCTTCTTTCCTTTTAAACTTGTTTCAATACTATATTCCATCTTATTACTTCCATCAATTATTTCATGTGGAATTCCTTCTAAGCTATCATCTGCCTGTGCTGTAGTTTTATTACACCTCTCTCTAAATACAGCACTCAAGTATTTTCTCTGGTATTTAATCTCTGTACATGTATTGTGTTCTTCGTGAACAAAGGGAAACGTTTCTTCATAATCTTCATGATACATGTTCATAGAAAATAAATGCATCTCTTTATTAAAATAATAGGGAATTTCTATATTAAATGATGGTTTAGGTATTGTCATTTTCCCTCCTTTTATTCTTGTTGTCATTGCAATTTCTCCATGTATTCCACTTTCTAAATAATTATTAATTTCACCTATTCCTGATATTTCAATATTATTTGCTTGATCTATAGAAGTTCCTATTTTCATAGTTATTGGTTTACTTATTTCATATTCCATACTTTTTAATGCAATTGACTTCTTTTTCATTTGGATTATTTTTAATTCTTCCAATCTTTTAATAACCTCTCCTTCCTCACAACTTTTAAATAATTCGTAGAAGTGTCTTCGTGTTGTACTTGGTATTCCTTTCATTTTTCTCTCATTTATTTGTTCTTCTTGTTTACATTAATTTGTTATACATATCATTTAATTAAAAATATTTGAATACGTGGCACCACATAAATCATTATTGATGATTTTTTATGAAAAAAAAAAAAAGAAAAACCCTAAAAAAAAAAGATTGAACTTTAACTTACGAGAAAAGAATTATGTCAGCGAAAGATCTCATCCTTTCTAGTCTTGAGAAAGAACCACAAATTGAATCTGCTTATGGGTTTGCTGAAAAAAATAAACTTGCATATGACAATAGTTTTATTGGAGCAATTAGATCACTTGATGCTGCTGGTATTATTATTTCAGAAATGAAGAAAGTAACTAAACAAACTGTTTCAGCAAATGCTGAAGATGTTTTAAAGAATGGATCAGAAGAATTTAGGTTATTTAATTTAATTAAAAAAGAAGGAACACCTAAAGCTGAAGTTGAACAATTACCATTTTACAGAACTGGATTTGCTGAAGCAATGAAATTAAAATTAATAAAGATTAATGGACCCAATTTAGTTAGGATTGTTGATACTTTTGAAGATTCAATTCAAAAATCACTTAAAGAAGTTCTTGGTGGAAGAGCTGCTACAAAGAATGAAGAAGTTATTTTTAAGAGAAGAAAGTTTTTAAGACAAGAGACTATTACTGACTATATATTAAAACAAGGCCCTTCTTTTAATAAGAGGTCTAAACCAGTTGCTAATTTAACAGCAGAAATGTTATTAAATGGAAGTTGGAAAGATGCAAATTGGAAGGAATATAATTTTAATGCACTTGGAGTATATCCAAAAGGAGGTTCAAGACATCAATTATCAAAAGTTAGAATGAATTTCAAAAATATATTCTTAGAAATGGGTTTTGAAGAAATGAAAACTGATATGTATGTTGAAAGTTCATTTTGGAATTTTGATTCTTTATATCAACCACAACAACACCCAGCACGTGATGCCCAAGACACATTCTTTTTGAATGAACCAGCAACAACATCATCAGCTGATATGAATCCTGATTATGTTGCAAGAGTTAAGAAAGTTCATACAACTGGTGATTTTGGATCAATTGGATGGAGGTCTGATTGGAAAGTTGAAGAAGCTCAAAAAACTATTTTAAGAACTCACACAACAGCTGTCAGTAGTAGAACACTTGCTAAATTAGCTGCTGATGCTATTGCCAAAGGTGAACCATTTAAACCAATAAAATGCTTTTCTATTGATAGAGTTTTCAGAAATGAAACTGTTGATCAAACTCATTTAGCTGAATTCCATCAAATTGAAGGATTTATTGCTGATAGAAATATTGGATTACCTCAATTAATTGCTGTTATTAAAGAATTCTTCACTAAGATGGGATTGCCTGATGTTAGATTTAAACCAGCATACAACCCATACACTGAACCATCAATGGAAATATTTGCCTATCATCCTGGATTAGGAAAATTCGTTGAAGTTGGTAATTCTGGTGTATTTAGACCAGAAATGTTAAGAACAATGGGAGTACCAGAAGACATTACTGTCATCGCTTGGGGATTCGGTTTAGAAAGACCAACTATGATTTCTTATGGTATTAAATCTATCAGATCAATTTTCGGTCCAAAAACTGATTTGGACTTCATCAAGAATAGTGAAATTTGCACTTATGGTATCTAATCGTTAACGAACATTTCGTTAATTTAATTTTTTTAATATCTTTCTTAAATGTAATTTATGTTTTATTATTGTGTAATTTAAAATAAATAATACATTTGTTTCATTAATTATAAGAATAAATCACAATAAATTTTCAACAGGAGAAAAACACACTCTGATTAATTAAAAATTAAAGTTAATTCTACAAATACAAGAAGTGATGAAGAGAATAAAGAAATAAAAGAAGAAAAAGAAGAAATAACAAAGAAAAGAAGTGATAATGAAAAAGAACAAAATGATGAAATGAAATCATAATTAATTTTTTATTCTTCTTTTTGTGGCTTTTCTTCTTCATTATTTGATGGAGATGGTGTTGTTGATATTTCTTGTGTTAATTTGATAGTTATCTTTTCTTTGTGTGTTCTTTGAATTTTTCTTCTATTCCACCATGGAATGATATACTTTTCAATTATTATCACAACACTTACAATTCCTCCTCCAATCCCAATCATCCACATTATATATTTTAATCCAGAATAAACTACAACTTGTGTGTTCATCATCTCTTGAATCTCTTCTTCTTTCAATCCTTTTCCCATTAAAAACTTTAACTTTGTATCATATGACAACTTACGTACTTCTCTATTTTGTAAAAACTTCTTCACCCTCTCTTTCATTTCTTCTTTCTCTTCCATTTCTTTTTGTTATGGTACTATTAATAAAAAAGAAAAAACCCAAAACTAAATTTATAACAAATCTTCAGAAGAATCTTGCCTAGATGATACTCCAAGTTCAATTCCAAAATCTGTGTTTTGACTAAGACTTGAATGAGATGAGTTATCTACCAATTGAAGGAGTTGTAGTGAATTTTTAGCAGAACTTTCTCTAAGAGATTCATTAAGACTATCTACACTATCACATCTGGATAATGGCTGTTGGGTTAATTTAATAGATTGGTGATTAGGAAGATGATGTTTTTGAGAATACTTCTTCTTTCTATCTTGTTTTCTGAAGAGAATTACTTCCCACTTCTTAAACAAACGTTTCTTTTCAGTTTCTAAGTTTATTCTTAAATCATAACTAAGAGAAAAAGTACTGATTTGAGAAGAGGTAGTTGGAGAAAGTGATAATGGTTTTAAGAACATATTAAAAGGAATTGTTATAAGATCTTCTGGTGACCCATCCATAACTTCAAGAGTAAATAGTTTTGTCTCAATCACTTCTTGTTCAAAACGTTCTTTACGAATAAGAACAAGATTTACTTGTTCAATGGGATTTTCAAGATTGACCTCTTCAAATAAAATCTTTCCTTTTATAATTCCTTTTGTATCAAACACGTTTGAATTGATTTCGACTTTAAGTTTAAGGTTTGGTTGAATTAGTTCATCAACTATAGGATTACCTTTTATACTAGAAGAATACGTTTTAATAAAAAGATCGATAACCCCAATAGGAGGTACTTGAATTATTTGAGCTATCTTTGAACTTTTTAGAAATTCAGCCTTTAAACAATAAGATATTTGGACATTATTACTTAGATAACTGTCGAAAGGAGCGTTGAGTGTCAAATTGAATGGAAAATTTGTTTCATTTTCTATTTGACCTGGAGGTGCAAGAAGTGATGTTTGTGTATGAAATTGAATTACTTTACCTCTTTCATCTAACGGATAAGGTTATACGAAATGCTAAGAAATAGAACAAACTGTTTGTACCAATAAAAAGAAGTTGTAAACCAGAATGGGTGAATGGTTTAGAAGGTTTAGAAATATAAACCATTCCAGTTATTTTTTCGTTTTTTGAAAGGGTAATGACAGTTTTTTTTCCAGTTTTATTTCTAAGCGTCGTCTTTGGGTATGACAATTCTTTGTTTAAACGAATAGTAATGTTCATCTGTTAAGAGTAAATTGCAACAAGAGATAAAAGGAATCTTTGTATTTTCATATAACCCAAAAAATAAAAAGAAATTTTTCGAAAAACAAAAATTAAATCACCAAATTTTTTGAATTGAAAAAATTGTCAAAGAAAGTTTGAAGTATAACATATAAAACCCTCACACGTGGGCTAATCAAAAGAAAAAATAAGAAAGGAACAAGAAATAATTAGATAGAGATGCAAGGTAGAATAGACACTATCTTTAAAAATAATGAGCCAGGTATTAAAGCAAGTACTGAAGATAAAAGAAAGAAAGCTGTTGAATCTATCATTACATTTAGTAAAGAACTTAAAAACGAAGAAGATAAGAAATATTTTTTAAATAAAATTTTGGTTGTCTACAAAAAGACGTGTAGTGCAACTTATATGAAAATTGTTATTTCTAAAATTTTAAATGGATTAGAAAATACATTTTGTACAAGAGAGCTTTCACAAGAATTTACTGAAAAATTTACAACAATCTTTTTAGGAGAAACTAATGATGAATTACGAAAATACTTATTTGGATTTGTTGCACATTTAATTCAGTATAATGAAATTATTCCAACTAAAATTCAACAAATGATTCAGTCATTAAACACATTAAAAGAACCATTAAAATCAATTTTTATAGAAGAGCTTCCTAGAATGTTAGGATTACCAGATACTTCTAAATTAGCTCAAGTTAATTTAACAGGGTATTTTGCTTCAGAAATTAATTTTGTAAAATCTCCAAAGAATACACCAAAATCAACTATTATTGCATTTAGATATTTATTAGCATATTATAGACAACCAGAAGTAAAACAATGTGAAGTATTAGAAAGTCAATTATTCTCTTCATTTGCAAAAGCTCTTAAAGTTTATTCTTCACCTGAATTTTTGGCTTTAATTCAAGAAGATGGATATAAACATCAATTGAGTGAATTACTTTTTGATGTTTGTCATTTAAATTGTATTCCAAATATTTGTGAATGTGAAGAAGATATTAAAAAGATTTTACCTTCTTTACTTGACAGAAGAAATATTAAAAACTTTTTTAAGAGTACTTCAACTACAACAATGTCTTCATTATTGATTCATCTTGTTTTTGACAGTATAATGAAAGATAAAAAACCTCATTTGATAATTAGTTATGGTAATATTAGTAACTTGATGAATTCATTTTTTCAGAGAAG